AAATAATATGAATTCTGATGATGAAAAAGCTCTTAAAACTCGTGAAGAAAAACATTAGTTTTTGTTCTGGGTTAAACGTACTTATTTGTAGTATTTAAAACTCGAGATAAAAACGAACTGTATTAGATCATTTATGATATCGGTGTTTCTTCTTTTTTTTTACGATCAATGACGCATGAGAGTTGGGGAACGGATACGCTCCGTTAACACGGGTTTCTCAATACCAGGGAACGGCTCGCCGCCTCCCTAAATTGTCAGGAACTACTGAACTGTATGTAAAACAAAAAAACATTACGATTTACAAATGTATATTCTGTCAGTTTTTGTTTGTTTTTATGAAATCCCCTGGATCGTCCAGATTGTTGTGATGGGCCGGTGAGGTGATTTTGACTGTCGGTGAAGGGCAGGTGGTTAATAAACACCGCAATAATTTTTTTATCGTACTTTTGAGGTGTTTAAAACTCGTATCTCTCTAATTCTGTAGAATAATAATAAAATAAAGTGTAGCAGCTTAAAAAAAAGGCTATTGTTGTTTTTATTATAAATCTAGAATCATTATTCAACACATAATTAATTATAAAATAATCTACACATATTTTTCTTCCCTTCATTACCCTCCTACGCAACGAGATTGTTATATTACATCATCTTGTGTGTGTGTGTGTGTCCTCCGCTGGCTGAACTCTTAACTCTGAGGGCTTATAACGCAAATAAATCGGGATTCGATACTTGCGGTGGGCACAGCACAGATAGCTCATTGTGTAGCTTTGAGTTTGGTAACGAACGAAACAAACATTGTTTTGTTTTTTGCTGGTTTTAACCTGACCTGACCTGACCTAACTACCACCAACTCACCACACACTAATCGTGATCTAATTTTAAAATGTTAATTTCCTCAATTATCTTAATATAAAACTTACCTAGTAACCTAAGAGAAATGAATACATCTGGCACAACCATGTAACACTAAACAACTGGTTATTTTACTGTATGGTACTACTATGTAACACTAAACAACTGGTTATTTTACAGTATGGTAATACCATGTAACACTAAACAACTGGTTATTTTACTGTATGGTACTACTATGTAACACTAAACAACTGGTTATTTTACAGTATGGTACTACTTTCATTGTTGGAAAACGAAGTATAGTTAGTAATGAATACACTTTCAACTAGCCTACCATTATGACCATGTCTGTGGTACAACTGCGTGTCTAGTATCAGGATACCCCACAGTTATTGATCCCCACCCTATACTGGGACTGTTTTTTTTTAGATTTGGAAGTCTTGCATCACATCTATGAGCATTGTTCTTGAAACGTGAATTGTAGACGATGGTACACTATACGTCTTTACGCTATTTTAATATTGTGAGTTGATGATCATTTTTAAGGCTAATATGTAATGAGAATCATTCTATTTTTGTCTACTGCGCATGCTTGAACTGCGATGATTTTTTTTTAACCACGAAGATTGGATGTTGTTGTTGTTTTTTTTCACCAAGTTTAACAAGAAGAATATTACAACGTCAATGTTTGGTAAATATTGTGCACTGGAACGATGATATCTACTTCAGCAGCCAGAAAGAGTTTCGTTCATTGTGACCTCGTACTCGCTCGCTTTTTCTGTTAACTAGAAAACAGAGGCGCGTTAAACAAACGTTTGTACTGCACGCAAGTGAACGTTATGTCTCGGCCTATGTGGATAGAGACTTGTTTGAACATTATAAAGTCACATAGAAAACAAATCTTAGAAATAAAACTTCAAGGTTGTATATAACGTACATGGAAAGTAAGATTGCTCTTCAACGAAACGTCGAAACCGGATCCCCCTAAGAACACGTGAAAAATAACACCGTACTTAAACGAAACGACCGAAACCGGTTCTCATAAGAACCCGTAGAAAGTAAGATTGTTCTTCAGCGAAACGTCGAAACCGGATCCCCTAAGAACACGTGGAAAATAACACTGTTCTTCAACGAAACGACCGAAACCGGTTCTCATAAGAACCCGTAGAAAGTAAGATTGTTCTTCAACGAAACGTCGAAACCGGATCACCTAAGAACACGTGGAAAATAACACTGTTCTTCAACGAATCGTTTGAAACCGTTTCTCATAAGAAGCCGTAGAAAGTAAGATTGTTCTTCAACGAAAAATATGAAACCGGTTTTGATAAGAATAAGTAAGACTATACTTTAACGAAACGTCCGAAACCGGTTCTCCTAAAAACTCTATAAGTATTTAACCTGTAGAAGAATAATATTTCAATTATATTTTGCTAATAATTAACAACTAATGTTTTTTTTTGGGGGGGGGATTTTGTTGTAATAATTATGATGTTTTAGACTCCCAGTAATCAGTATCCTCCTCCTTAAGTCTTATTGGTTGCTATTCTTTATAATATGTGAAAGTCCCTAGATTAACAATTTTATTTTTTAAATCAATGAAAGATACCACAACGAGCTATATATATGCGTGTGTTTTGTATCGTGTATCCTATGAATGTACTTCTAATTATTGTGTTTTTTGTATGTAACAAATACAGTTCTTTTTTTTTATTATTTCATAATGCAATTACGTACGAATTAGTAAAATAAGTAATTATGTAAAGCCAGTCGAAGTATTTCTGGGTCAGTAATGGTATAATTGGATAGGATTCAGAAAATGGTTTGTTAACTGCCAGAAAGAGCCTGCTCAGGGGAATTCAACAGTACACCTGAAGGTACAAATTAAGCAGTAAATTCGGGTTTTGATCTTCTTAGTCAACATACAGTCGACGCTGGTGATAAAAGTTATTCCATTTAGACAAAAAACCTTATCTGGTTTGGTGGAGGATAGAATGCCAGTGTAAGTAACATAGATCCGCTCTATATACGACTTGTAGGATTATACACGTACACGTTATGTAGTCGTTTCAACTTTACTTACTTTCTTCAGTAGGTGTGGGCTATTAACTACACGTTTCATCTCATTTACAGATCCTGTACGTTAGATGCTGATTACAGCGCGATCTATCGGAATTCTCTTGTGTCTTGTCTATGAGCAGAAGCTGGCGATCCTAGTTCTTCATCTTTCTTTGTCTCGAGCTAACTGGATGACGTCATTGTCTTTGACTTTTTCAGGCTACTAATGTACTACATTCTTTGATTTTCTCTGTCTTTTTTTTTTCCTCAATTTTTCTTATCAGAATTTGATGTTCTAAGCCTTCTCCACGGATGACATGCCCAAGGGATTTTAACTGACTTCTTCTGATGGTTTTTATTAGAGATTTCCCTAATTTTGCTATTTCTAGTACTTTTTCAGTCCCGAGCATTCTTCTCCAAAACAGCATTGTAGTGGCTTGTACCATCTTTAGTTATCGTCCGACATCCATATAGCAGAACAGACCAAATGTAACAGTCGAGAATACGAGTTTTAGTGGTCATAGGAATGTTCTTGTTTTTCGGAAAGCATCTTTTGCCGTTCCTTTTTTTTTTATCTTTGCATCGTCCATTTCTTGTTCTGGTAAGGCCTAGCTATTTTCATTTCTTGACTGGTTTTATTTTATCTTCTTTGTTTTGTATATTACAGAGCGGTATGATTGGTTTCGTTGATATGATCATGCACTCGGTCTTTTTCACGTTGAGGGATGAACTTTTGACCTCACCTTCAAGAAGAAGAACAACATCCAAGAGATGTTGAATGGATGGTTATTTATCAGCAATTCCGATAATACTTTCTAATCGCTACAATACAACCTTAACAACTAGAACTAGCCTATCATTATGACCATGTCTGTGGTACAACTGTGTGTCCATTACCAGCCAACTAGCCTACCATTATGACCATGTCTGTGGTACAACTGCGTGTCCATTACCAGCCTGAAAGTAAAATAATGACCTGAATCTCAACAGGAACTTGTAATATATCTATAACTCCTGACGTAGCTGTAATAGCGAAATACTGAGCTAATAAAGATACATTCTGAAGATGTGGGTCGTGATTTTATTCCCATTAATAAAAAAAAATATGAAATTACGTGATTTTATATTATGATTCTTAATTATCAAATTACGTGATTTAATATTATGATTCGTAATTATCAAATTACGCGATTTTATATTATGATTCTTAATTATCAAATTACGTGATTTTATATTATGATTCTTAATTATCAAATTACGTGATTTTATATTATGATTCGTATTTATCAAATTACGTGATTTTATATTATGATTCTTAATTATCAAATTACACGATTTTATATTATGATTCTTAATTATCAAATTACGTGATTTTATATTATGATTCGTATTTATCAAATTACGCGATTTTATATTATGATTCTTAATTATCAAGCAGAATATTTTTATTCTGAATGTCAACCGAACGGTTATTACTTGGAATGACATTAAAATAATACCGTCAAAATTATCTTGGCACAGAGTTACGAACTTTTCTGTTCTAACTGTAGAAATTGTTCAATCTGTGTATTTTATTGGACGTTGAGGGTATTCCGTCACGCACACTGGCGGTCATATTACGTACTACAATTAGTTATTCACAATATACACAACAAGATTTTATGCTTTTGATGCAGTTTACAATGATTTGGTGAAAACAAGTTTTTCTAGGAAAAAAATTAAAATAACAGCATAATGAGCCCTCTATTTACGGCTAAGCCGCCGGGGAAGGGGTGGGGGAGGTACTGGTTTTTAGAGAAAACCAACCCATTATGCCTTTTCTGTTCACTTAACCTTGACTAACTTTCTATAGCTGTTGCGAAATAGTTAAATTGTGTTTATTTGATGCGAGCCCAAATTTCTGAAGGTTATTAGTTCAAGGGCTTCTGTGATGTTGAAGTATTATTGGTTTTAATAGTGTGTTTGTGTAAGCCAATCACGTATATGAACATTGACGTAAGACGTGGATGTCTCTACGATTGGTCGGATGATGTTAGGGGTCTTTCATTCATTGTTACCGCTACTGTATGCGTATATATATATATATAATGTATGAATTAAGAGTTCAACTAGTGACAGTGTTATTGTGGCTTTTCTACTCGTACAGCATACAGTGTTTTGTATTATCAAATGACTATGTGGGTGCGGTGTTCCGGATGAAATATTAATTTCAAAGACTTTTCGGTTTCAGATGGAAATGTCGAAGGTCACAATATTTTTGTTGATAACCGTTAATTGGCTAATTGAGGCTAGGCCAAAACCAATATATTTTGAATGTCCTGCTCCAGAAGTGATCGATCCTTGCAGCTGTCGGGAGGAAAATGTCTTCTCAGGGATACAGTGTGAGGGCGTCCAAAGCTTGAATACTATCCAGAGGTCGCTAGGTAACCGGTTCTCTCTACCGATCCCCTGGTTACACATTACTAACAGTAATATTTTAGACTTGCCTCCCGGCGCTTTCTACAATATGTCCGTGTCCCGGCTGTTTATCAGTGGAAGCAACCTACGGTATGTGGCGGAAGACGCGTTCGTGGGACTTGAGAATTTGGCTATGCTCGTCCTGCAGTATGACCGTCTGTTCTGTGTCCCCACAACCGCCTGGTCACCACTTGGTCGCTTGAAAACTCTCAGCCTTGCCTCCAACTTCATCCTGAGAGTGGAACGGAGTGCATTCAAAGGATTACCTGCACTAGAAACCTTAATTTTGACGGGTAATAGAATTTCTCACATCGACAAAGGAGCCTTCCCTCTCACGTTGAAGTTTTTATCCCTTGCCAGCAACCACTTACTGAAGCTGAACGGCAGCGTAGAGAACCTTCCTAACTTGGAACGGTTATTCCTTACTGATAACGATATATCCAGTCTGGATGGAGAACTTGACGGACTAACCAGATTAAAAATGTTTGACGTTTCTCAGAATGTTATTAAGATGTTAGGAAGTGACATCTTTGTTGACCTTTTGAGTTTGACCAACCTAGATCTCGGCGATAACAAGCTGGAGAGTGTTGGAGATTCTTTACAACCTTTGACTAATCTTACTCATCTAAGTTTGTCCAACAATTACCTCACTGTCCTCTTAGAAAACTCTTTCAGAAACCTAACAGCGCTTCAAGTCCTTGACCTTTCTGGTAATCGCTTGACCGCTATAGACCTCTCCTTACGTCATTTGTCAAATCTCCGAAAACTAAACCTTACCAGAAATCGTCTCGTGACCCTTAAGTACTTGGAGTTGAAGTGGCTACATGGTCTGCGTGTTTTGGACTTATCCCATAACAACCTTACAGTCCTTGAGCTCACTGGTCAAGATCTCGGAATGTTAACTGTTCTAAAGTTAGCAGGCAACAAAATAAAGTCCTTCTCGTTTAGCCTGGACAGGATGACCGAACTGGACATCAGCTTCAATGACCTGAAAACATTTTCAAGTCAAGACTTGGGCAACAAACTTGGACTTCGTGTACTAAATTTAGAAGGTAAATATATTTCATCCTATAGATGTGGTTTTTGTTGTAAAACCTCCACCTGGTGTAAGAAAAATTATCAGTAACTAAATTGTATTATAGTATTACATACGTGGGTAGACGCGTGAAAAGGATAACGTTATTCACCATAGACAAACCAAAGTAACCGTTTATGTCAGTAAGCCTGTTTTAACTCCAGTTATTGGCGAGTAAACTGGGTTTAAAAAAAAACTGACCTTAAATATAAATATCAATAAACAAGTGTGAAGAGCTGTTTTAGGGTTAGACAAATTTCTGTTGATCAATAGGCGGACACCGTGCTGTTCGTGGACCATGAAGCTAGGAACACTTAAAATGAAACATTAAGAATCTCTAACCTGACGTCAATTTGGGGGCCATGTCTAAGCCTAACTACTATTTGTTTAAAGTAACAAAGTATTTTTTACTTAGCTGATTAGGTTTTAGAAGTTAGTGCTAACAACGATATAAGAAGTAATACAGTTTCCAAAGAGAGGTTCTGTGGTATCTAAGTTAGACTTTAAAACTGACTATTAATATCATTCAATAAGTAACTTTAGGTTACTGTTAACAACGAGAGACGAGGCACAACAGTTTTCAAGTAACGATAAAAAAGCAAACTGTTACTAATTACTGATGAAAAACTATTATTATATCTGTTTTTGTCTTTCAAGGTAATCGCTCTACTTTTGATAAAACCAACCATGTTTCTCTGTTTCGAAACGTCTTTTATTTCTATGAAGCAGGAATATGTATATAATCAAATGCCTCTGTTTTTAGGAAATCCATGGACATGCAATGATCACCTCACTGATACATTTCGTGAATTAACCAATCATGAAGTCCATGTCCGCGGTGCACCTGTATGTCCATTACCAGCCAACTAACCAATCGTCAAATCTTTGTCCACGATACACCCGTGTGTCCATTATCAGCTAATCTTCTATGTCCGAACACACCTATGTGTCCATTACCAGCCAACTAGCCTACCATTATGACCATGTCTGTGGTACAACTGCGTGTCCATTACCAGCCAACTAGCCTACCATTATGACCATGTCTGGGGTACAACTGTGTGTCTAGTATCAGCCAACTAGCCTACCATTATGACCATGTCTGTGGTACAACTGTGTGCCCATTACCAGCCCCCTCGTGTAGCTTTGCGCAAAATTCAAAACAAACATACAAATTAATAGATAAGTAGCTTGTTAATGGTTATTTAGCTTTAAAATATTAATTATCTTAACTTTGTTTAACGCAAACCGGAGAGACTTTTCTATTAACTATCTGCCTAGCCGTCCCTAATTTAGCAGTGTAAAACTAGTCATCACCACCCACCGCCAACTCTTGGGCTACTCTTTTACCAACGAATAGTGGGATTGACCGTCACTTTATAACGCCCCCACGGATGAAAGGGCGAGCATGTTTGGCGGGATGGGGTTTCGAACTCGCGGCCCTCAGATTACGAGTCAAGCGCCACCTGGCCCAGAATATATATATATATATGTACCCAAGATCCGATGCCCTAACCACCTGGCCATGCCGGGAGCCTATTAATTCGTAGTTATAACTATTTTTGTTTTGTAGAAACATTGTTATTAGGTTTTTGACAAATCCTCTAACACATCAGAAAGGAGGAGTAATTTTAAATATACAAACGTACCAGTAGTTAGATAATCCATTTATGTATACGTTTAGTGAAAAAATTCAGAAAAAATACATCAAACATTTATCAAAATCCACGCCAGCCTCATCATCACCTAACATGGAAATTTTGAAATGTCATCTTTGACAAACGTTGTGAAAATTTGGAATTTATTAAATAACAGCACCAAGATATATAGGCATCAGGTAACGAAATAAGTAACGTTGGAACAAACTTTATTATACAAGCTGAAAACCCAACAAACATAGCTAATATCATCAGTACATAATATTAATGACTTCACTATGTTAAAAAAATCTCATTTTGGTATGAAATGGACATTCCAATTAGATACATTT